GCAGCCAGCCTCCTCTTCCTCCTGAGAAGTAGCTATTGGGCTTGAACCACTGACCTTGCAGCTAGCAGCCCGCCATGCCACCAGAGCTGCTTTGTGTCACTATAGGAAATCTCACACTTAGTCGAGTAGTAAAACAGCCAGCTTAAACCGTGATCAAAGCATAGCCATCATCACACTACCTGTGGCCGACTCTCCCCACGCTCAAGGTTGTTTAGAGCAGGTGCTAGACGGCATGTACTCTCACCTGCAGCCAGGGCAGTGCGGGGCGTGTGTGCGGGCTCCTGGAGATTCAGACATGCAGCCCTGGCTGAGGAACACATGGCCAGCCTCTCGTGGACAATGACACCCAGGCGGCAGCTGACTTTGGGGTGTGTATTTTAAAAGCTTTGGGACCAACCGCTAGAGGAGCCAGCGGTGTTATGAAGGCCCCGTGGTGATGCAGAGATAGTTCTGCACCTGCTAGTCAAGAAGAGGGCAGTTTGAGTCCACGGAGAGAGATCTGACAGTCTGCTCCCCTGACCCTTACAGCTGTAGAGACCTTGGGGGGCAGTTAGTTCCCTTGCCCTACAGGGGTGCTCTGAGTCTGAATTCCCTTGGCAGCACACACAGCCACATTTGTTATGGAGTCACCTGGAGAATCCAGCTGGAGGCAAACCTGATTGTTCAGGACCCACATAAACCCGGTCGTCCAGTTCTCTGCGTATCCCAGCAGTCCTGGGAGCTTGCTGGCAGAGGAACCCACAGGAGTTGGCTTAGCAAGATGACTGGGCTCCAGCCAGCCCGGCCATAGGGGACTTGGAGGGAGAAGTGCCCATTGGGATTCAAATCATACTCTGGCGCCTTGGCTCGCCTCTTCCCCTCCCCTTCCCCAACTGAACCTTTGCTGCCTTTGTGATGTCTCCATGTGCACAGCAGATGGCGCCTTTGTTCCACCTAACTTTTCATCTCTGCTAGGTTGGCTGATCCTCGCCCGTCCCGGCTTCCAGAAAGACCCAGCAGCCCTGCTCAGGGATATGCGTTCCCGTGGAGACCCTCACTCACCCGATGCCTCCCTTGCTTCCTTGCAATAAAGCCAAGCTGCTTTTATTGAAATGTGGTCCGTTGCGTTGTCTTTATGTCTCTCGCTCACATGCAGGTCTGGGTTCGCAGTGCTTTGCTTGATTGAGTGGACATTTCAGGAGTCAGAGGCCTGGACTCAGTTCCCATGTCTGTCTGGCAGCCTTTCGCTGTGTGACTTGTAGCAGTCCTTCTCCCTCTCTGAGCTTCAGGTTTCCTCCCCTGTACAGTGAAGGAGCTGGGCAGATCGGTGGTTGCCTTTCTACACACGGCTGTCAGCCGCCACACTGGTATATCGAGTGACTTACTTTTAAGGGACAGCTCATATGCTGCACACGGGCCATCAGGAGTCAGAATCCACTCTAGGCAATTGGAGCAGGGGGTGGGGGGCAGTTCGTTGAGGCGTTTGAAATAGTGGGAAAGTGTCAGAGGAAACCGAAGAGTCTGTGGGCGCAATTGTACGGCGATGATACATAAAGATTATGGTGAAGTCATTGAAGAGAGGAAGGATGAGCGGAAAATAAAGGAGTCAGACTCACTTTATGGTAGCATGCTCACCTCAGCCCCTCTTAATGGTCCACGTGGAGGTAGAAGAGAAGAGAGCGCTTTATTAACTCGGGGCATTTATCGGTAGCCACAAGACATGCATATTGAGTAGTTACATATGCCACAAGGTGGGTGGTAACCAGTAATGTCCCTGAGCTCACAGGTGAGGAACCCTAATACCTGCATTGGGGGAGGTATGAGGAGGGCTGGGAGGAGAAAGCATAAGAATGTCTGCCTCTGTAGGGAGTAGAATCAACCATGTGCTCACTTTACGACTGCATAGCTCTTAGGGGAGAGTCTGTGATATTTAAAGCAGGATAATGTACTTGGACTTTACCTCTAACTTACCAAAGTGGAGGCTTTCCTACCGTAGCATACCAGCTTTCCAGATTCCCTCTGTTATAAGTTAGGGAACATAATACTGGCCATATTTCCCTGTGCTAGTTTCCCACAGGAAAGAATCCCGTTTCCAATTGTGTTCCCCCCCCCCCCTAGTTTGACCCCTTCTGAGAGTTTGCATTTCCACCCCAGACACACTGCATCAGAATTTACATTGTAATAAGTCCATCAGCAAGGGCTTGAATTGGAAGGGACCAGTTTGAAGCCCGGGAGGGCAGACAGGTGAGGACAGTGCTGGGTTAAGATCCAGCCCCAGCCACTTTGATGGCCACGTTACCTGCACCCACACTTGTACAGAGATGTGATGGCAGCAGCACAAGTGGTGGTTCTGAGGGTTCAGGGAGGTGTGAGGCATGTTTGCCAGGTAGCAATCACTCCGTAAACAGAAACCATCACTTTCTGTGTTGCTGAGAACATACACAACAGATCCACCGACTCAAGTTTTTACATGTACAATTCAGCGTCGTTGATTACAGCCTTGGAGTTGTGAGAGGATTCTCACCTCACCTTCCTTTTCTGAGTTGTTCCTCCGGCATTAACATTCGCTTCCTAGCTTATCTTTCAAGCTATTGTCCATTTGATCCCACGTAGAAAGCCCTGGTGGTGACCTGGTGGACGGCAGTTCCAAACCACCAGTCACTATGCGGGAGAAAGAGAGGCTTTCTACTCCACTAAAGAGTGACGGTCTCGGAAATCCACAGGGGCATGCCTGCCCTGTCTTACACGGTCCCTGTGAGTCAGCATGGACTCGATGGCGCTGAGTTTGGTTTGAGAGAAGGCTCTAAACGAGCATAATGTTCCAAGTGAACATTCTTTACTCGTTAAGCTGTGGTATTTAATTTTAAGAAAACTATAGAAGATATTTTTGTTAAATGTTTAAGATTATATTAGAGCAATCATTGCAGGGGTTTACCCAGTCCCCAGGGCCCCAGAAGGTCTGGAATTCATGTGAATTTTAAAATTTGGTCTATATTTTTCACCTTTTGGCCAGGATGGTGCATAGAATCTTTGATCCAAGTGTTCAGTAATAATAGATACCAGCCAGTACTTCTGGTTTCCTGGATGCAATTAGCCACACCTTCTACTTCCTCTTCCCGATTCTTCCTTGCTCCAGGGGAGTCGGTCCCAGGTGCACTTGCTTGGTCCCTTGCAAGCTTTTCCGAGTTCATTTCACTGCACAGTGAATGCGGAGGCCGAGCAGAAGCACCCACCACGCCATCAGGCCAGTTCATTGGCCCTCAACCACCAAGGAGTCACATCCCATGGGGGGCTTGGACGTACATTGCAGCCTCGGCAGCTACTCTCGTGAATTTTTCTATCACAACTTTTGCCAATTCAACTTTTCACAGGTGTGCAACTTCACTGAGAGCAACTGTGTTAGGGGCTGTGTCATCCTACCAGTCTGTATTTTGCTACCCAACAACCCCTGGAAATGACATTTAGTATTTCAGGCAGCCTGAGAATTAGTGCATCCCAAAGGGATTCAATTGTGTCTAAACCCAAAGCCGTAGTTTGCCTCCTGCGAGTGGGGTTGGGGGAGGAGGGGGGCTGCAGTGGAGTCAGTTCTAATTCCCGCCAGTCCCACGTGTAGCTTTACTCTCGAAAGTACATCATCAAACTAGCCATTCTCAAACGTTTCTCCTCTTGTTTCCTTAAAAAGGATTGAGGATTTCCAAGGGTTGTGCTTGTCATTATCTATAGCACTAGAAATGATCTTAGAAACTTTAAAAGCACAACACTGCAAGCACACCCCCCACCACATACCTTGTAGACTCCAACAGCGTGGGCATACACAGTGAGGCGCTGAGGCCAATGGATGGCCTCTGAGGGGAATGGGTGCTGGACTTTTCCTGGGGGCTGTGCACTAGAATGACCCCTTTATGCACTTAGAGGACACTTGCCGAGACCCGGGATAACACCTGAGCTGTACCTGGGCTGCTGTGACCCGAGGACCAGCCCCTCTGTCATCTCCCAGCCAGTAGCAGTCTCCTCATCTGCTTAATGGGTGGCGTAATTACTACCTGCACCTCAAGGTGGAGGACCTGAAACTAGGTAGCCGGTGATAAGAAACTGTTTCGCCTTTAACCCGGTGTGCTAACATCGTTTGCTCCTGTTATGAAAGGAGTTTCAGAGCAACAGCATCTGCCCTGGCGATCCCGCTTGCACACACAGACTTGAGAATTGGGGGCCGCCGGGCTTCCCAACTCTGTGGTTCACCCGGTTCCTCGCCACCAGAGGGCAGTGTCCTCTGAATCGGTTCCCTGGTCTCCATCTCGGTAGTGTGTCTCCTGGGCTGAGAAGCGGAAGACACTTTCCGCAGGCTATGGGAACGCAAACCTGAGGACCACTTCCGTCCTCACGGTTTCCTCACTGTTTAAGACTTAATGGATGTCTCTATAAATAGTATTCAAATTTGGTGTCTCTTCTCAGAAGCGACTCCATGCCGTGCGTTTGGTTTTTTCTTATTTTCCTCCTCTCTTTCTGTGTTGGGCTGCTAACCCATCAGGCTTTCTGCTCCTGTGAACAACGTACAGCCATGAAAACCCACAGGGCAGTTCTACTCTGCCCTGTAGGGTCACTGTGAGTCAGAATTGACTCAGTGAGTTTGGGGTTTTCTGTCCTAAAACAATGCATGAAAGGGACTAAAAAAAATCTGTGAACATTTTTTTTCATTCCAGTTTTCCACAAATATTTTGAAGAGCCCTCATCTGTATATCCAGATACACCCCAGAAATAATTACCAGAAGGAATATAATGCACATCCTGCGTCCAGTTTCCTCACGTCTGTCCCCATCCCTGAGCAGCCCCTGCCAAATGTTTCCTGTCACTGTGGGTTAGGTAGCATTTTCTAGAACTGTGATCATGCACCACAGTCTCCCTTTTGTTTGGCCTTTTTCACATAGTACACTTATTCTGTGAGTCATGCCTACTGAGAGTCCATGTCATTTGACCCCTGCCTCGCACCTGTTCTCGGGAGCCCTCGTGGTGTGGCGGTTGGGGCGTGGAGCTGCTGACTGCAGGGCGGGCTGTTTGGATGCATTAGCTGATCCGTCGGTGAAAGCGGAGACTTTCTGCTCCTGTGAAGATTCACAGCCTCACAGACCCACAGGGGAGGCCTGCTCTGTCCAATAAGGCGCTATGAGTCAGAATGGCCCTGCCGGCAGCTAGCTGACTTTGGGTTTGGGAGCGCCTAGCCCATTGGATGGGCAAGTACCTCCACAGGTGTATTCATCCAGCTGCGATTGGCCACTTGAGTTGTTTCTCCTTCTTTCATTGCTCTCTGGAGCTGGGGAAGGCACCCTGGAGGTGCTGTGGTTAAGCACTGGGCTGCCAACCTCCAGGTCCGTGGTTCAAACCCACCGTCCATTCAGCTTCGTATGAAGGAGCCCAGTGCTTGGCATAAGGTTCCAGGGTTTGGTTTTGTCCTATATTCTGAGCTGATTCTCAAAAGTCAGCTACAAAGTATACCCCTAGAAACATGCAGGGGACCTCCCTCATTCTCCTCTCCTGCTGCCTCTCACAGCTCGTTTCCGGGAAGAGCATTCGTTCAGACTGGCCCTTAAAATGAGCCATAGACTAAGCTGTTAAATTAGCAGACTAATGTTTAAGGGGTCTTGCCATTTTTCCTGGGTCTGTTTAAGCCTGGTTTTGTAAATGTCCACCTGTCAGTTTCCTCGTAAGTTCCTGCAGCCTCTGTATTTAAGCTCTTTTCTCTGCAGAGCTTCAGTGACTCCTTGCACGGGTCTGCCCGATCCTGGGTGGGGCTGGTCCTTCAATACTCGGACATGTTAGCAGTCTGCTACCTCTGCCTGACAAGACTGACAGCCTTGGAGATCCCCAGGATCCCCGCGGCTCGGCCTCAATGAGTGGGAAGCTTGATGGCAATGGGCTTGGGGTTTGGGGTCTGGAATTATCAAGGTCCCCCATGCTCCCCACAGGGCCCCAGAGAGTCTCTGGGGACGGGATGTCCCAAACCTCCCAAACCCAAACCAATACCCTTGCAGCTCCACTGGCCTTTTTCTTGATCAGGGTTCCTCCTACAGCCAGACTGTCCCAGCCCTGCTCTGCATTCAAGGTCCTGTCCCACCTTG